CACCACAGAGATGAACAGAGAAATGGGGCCTCATTTGGGAAGGTCAGAAACACTTAATTCTGCCTTATTATTAAGCCTCGCCGCTACAAGCCCTACACAGCCCTGTCGCAGTACATGAATATGACCTTCACACGCGTTACAGTATGCTCCTATTCTTTTTATGCTCAGCTACTAAGATTTCCCTTCAGTGGTAAAATTCAATATCTACAACGGGCACAGTAAAGACGTTTCCTGTACAGTAAGTCTTTCTACGACAGACCAACGGACCACGAGTGCCCTGTCGGTCAACCAATCACGCACCGCGGTACCCTGCGTCATCTTACGTCATGATACACGACACCGCAGCCAATTACTTGCGGTACGTGTCTGTACCGCTCACTTTGAATGGCTGCATCTGTATATTCTTCAAATGTATTTTCTTATTAACTGCCAGATACAGGAAAACTGAGACTGATAACTCAGGGGCCAGTGGAGGTTTTAATTGTAAACATTGCTTTTAAATTACATAAAGGCATAATTCTCATAATAGTTCTACACACAACAAAAATCGAATGATTTCGTGATCGAACCTGAATAACTAAAAGCATAATCCATGAAGGACTTCTACATAAACATTAACTCTTTGCTAACAGAAGTCGAAGCAGACGGAACATGAGCAAGGGGGCATCCACATTTACTCTCCTTACTGCGCAGCCTACAAATAGGCAATTTTAATCTGCGAATGCAGAAAAAATTGTGAATGCAGAACTCACAAATATTAAGGTTTTACTATAATCCAAAACCTCTTTCAATTCAAAAGTTCACAACCAACACTGCGATATGAAAAAAAAATAGACAATGAGTTTTCATGCTGTACAGCAATAAGTTTAAAAACTAGCACAAGGAGCTCAAGAAATACGCTACTGTTATGCTAAACATAATGCAACATATTTCTAAACAATACATTGTTTTCATAATGGCATGCACTAAACTGGAACTACAAATCTGAATTTTTGATCAACTATATCCTACAGAATATTTAATAAACAGAATTATTCATAATAGGTAAATCAGAAAGAAGTGCAAAAATTCGTTTAAGAACATTTTTAATCATAATATGCATATGAAATGTCTCTTCTAATTTTTGTTACTGGCATAAAAACATTTATTTACAAAGTACAAACATTCTTACTTTAAAAACATTAAACATTGTGTTTATCATGGTTATTATTCATGATAAAATGCTACTGAGGGTGGTACACAAGACAAAAACATCTGAAACAATGCTCTATCACCATTCTAAAAATCAATACTATAAAAAGTATGGAGTATATAGGAAAAGGAAAATTAAATATTGATTTTTACTCACTTGTCTGTTTTGAAGAATATCGCACAACCATCCACGTGTTTCCTTTCCTGGTCCGACACCAATTTGGCACGAGATTTTGGACAAAAAAATCCATCATATCCACGTTCCTTTAATGCTTGCAAAAAAAGAGTGTAGTATTGCTCTGTTTCAACTTCCTAGAAAACAAAGCTGTTAGTCAGTCAGTGTTCACATTCATTTAAACAAAGTGTAAACATAGGCTAAAATAATCACCTTTAAAAGCACATTTAAGTCACTACTGAAAAAAGTATATTGTGTGGAACTAGAATCATACCTGTAACCATACTATAACTTGCTTGAGAAGACCCAAAGATGTCTGTTTCAGGAGCACAATCAAAATTTTAAACTCCGCTATTGTGAAAAAAAGATTAACTACTTAAGGGAGAACACTGTAAAGCATGAGAGCTATAGAGGTCAATTAGTGTAAATCTCTATAAAGATAATATATGAATCAGAAAAAAAATACATCTGATTGTGCATCAAAACTGTGCCTGTTTTTAGCTTAACAATTCTATTTAAAAGCAAAGAGTAATTTTATTTTTCTCATTTAGGGACAAATTTACAAACATGGAAATTTAGTCTAATATTTCAACCAACTTTTGCCATTCCGGCTTAAGCGGTATCTTACCTGAAGACTTATGATATCTGCATCAGAGTTGACCATTTCCTCCATAATTCCCTTTTTTCTGTACTCCCAATTCAGTGCCCAGGAAGGACAGTAGCCATATAGCTGCCTTGTGGCATATTTGTCACATAGCACATTGTAACACATGACTGTGAACACAGCTGTATGGTGGGAAAAAAAAAGTGTTCCAATTCTCTTGCACATGTAAGATGCAATGAAATTATTATACTTAATGTGAGATTTGTCATGTTGTCAGAGAAAAAAGAATATATGGTACAACTACCAATAAAAGCACCATTCATTTATGTAGCGCTAATCTTTACAAAGAAATCTAAAGCACTTCACATTCAGGAAGGGCTTCAACAAAATGTATCTCTTGTAAGAGGTGTGACGCTATTACATACCTGCAATTCCCTTCACAATAGAACAGTCTGAATAAATGAGGAATTCTGGATGTCAAACTGAGATACCCTGAACTGGGATACAAGCAGGGCACTGGGTTAACAGCCTGACTCTTCTGAAATGTGCCAAGGACAGGCTTTAGTTTAACATCCCAGCCTAAAAAGACTACCTCCTACAGCCCAATGTCATCAAAAATACACTGATATAGAGATGTGAATCTTCATTTCTAGGGTCTTGTTCTAACCTGAACAGTAAATTCAACAACTTAATTACTTTAGAGACTAGATAAATTTACTGCAGTTAAGTTGGTAATTAAATCAAACAGACCAACTATGTAACTGACAGCTTGGGTATAACAAAAACCAGAAGACACTAGGCTAGGGGTGTCAAACGTACAATCACAAGGTGGGTCCAGCCTACCTAGTGTTAGGATAATGTGTCAGGTAACTTCAGAGGATTAGTCTGGATTCAATTCACACCTTTTCTGAGCCTTCATAGGCCACATACCAGGCAAGTGTCTTTGGTGTTATAATTGCATGCTTTGCCAACACAACACTCTCTGTAGTTTTCTACCATTATCCTTATGCTCCCTGTTTGATACTGTCAGTAAACTACTCTGACTGGGGTATGTCCTTACATGAAAACACTAGGAATAAATGGTACAACAAAACCTGGCCACTTCCTTTAAACTAATGCTAAAAGATTCTGGAGTATCCTCACTGACTAAGTCACTGTGGGTGAAACTGAACCTAATGGGTTTTTATGATCACAAAAGAATATTTCTTGAACACAGGGCTTTCAAATTTGCAATGCGGTTGAAGAGAAATGGAGAAATCTATATTTACCTGAATGGAAAGTGGACATTTGACATGTACAACAGGTAGATGTTGTCAAAGACCAATAGCAATAGTTGTACAAGTCAAAGTCATTCCTCTTTTATATTAAGAATGTCTAGCAAATGTTCATTTCTGGTGTTTATTTCATATTGTTAGATATTCCTTTAACCTGGCCTTTTGATTGTTTCATTTCAGTTAAAGTGCTAAAAACCTGTTAAGAAACAAGTTAAGTGAAAAAAATACTTCTCACTTGTCATCACAGCCCCTATGTTATTTGTACCAGTCCCTCAAACCTTACAGTAGATTTCTGATTACTAATCCCAGAGCCAATATAACTCTTGAATCAAATCCTATCGATAACAATTGATAACTAGAGACCTTTAACTCTGTCATCTTTTTGTGTTAGTTCCTTAGTTTCTTACATTTACATTAGGATTTTTTTCCTCTTATATATAGACCATACTTATGTTCATTTATTATTGGAAAAAATAAATATTAAAAATGGTATCACATACAACAATGAACAGATGTGAACAATCAACATGGTACGGCAGACTTGGTACCTAAACAAACTGTATAAGCCCAACACTGATATTAAAACAGGAAAAGAAGAGAAGAAACAAAAAAATAAATCAGGGGTGTAGAAGAGGAAATCAAAGAAGGGAAAAAAAATGCAGTGAAAGGACAGAAGAGGGAAGCCACAGTCCTTAAAGTCTGTCAAATGTCTGGGTCAAACTGCAAGCTCTTAAAGTGCTGCTAGGCAGAATCTTTTTTTTTTTCCACGAGGGCCACAGAAGGAAAACCTAATTCTTTCAATTTTTTTTTCCAAGGTGGAGAAAGCGCATCATATCCCTTACCCAGTGAGTGAAAGTGGGTGCAAAAGGTGGTTTCCAATGGAGCAAAATCTAACATCTCTTAGATAAAATTAAAAGGGACACCAAAGAGAGCAGTAAGGCTCAAGAGGCCCATATTAAATTTTTTAAGATATTTAAATCTCTTTAAAAAACTTTAGATTTCTAAAATGGTTGCAGTGCAGGACAAGACCAGTATATGTGGAGGAGAGTAGCAGGGGCCTGCTTGCCCTTATCAAACTTAGGATAGATGTTTGGGGAAATTTTAGCCAGTTTTACCTTACAAAAGTAGGTTTGGTGAACTATTTTGAACTCTATTAAATAAATTCTTGAACAAATAGATGAGGAATGTATTCAAGGCTATACCTTTCCATATCTCTTACAAAGTTCAAATCCTAATTCCTGTTCCCACAAAACGTTTACCAATGAAACCAACGTAGTGCAATCAGGAGACAATATAGAGAAGTACTGTACATTTGGGAAATTTGGCACTTTGTTTCGGACAGTGTCTGATCGAAAGGTAACAAAAGAAGTGTGATTTTGGTAGCTTAAATTTGGCTGATAGCTGCTCAAACAAAGCAAAACAGCCATCAATGATCTCTACAAGAGGTAACACCTCTACTGCTCCAAAAGAGGAATGCTTGGTCTATAACAGAAGGAGGAAACAAATGATTTACACAGAGAAGAGCACAAACACTGGAAGACTGAAATCGAAAGTGTTTCCTAAACTGTACCCAAGTGCTGATGAGACTTCCTAACCAGGTGATTACTGATAAATTGGGAAATCGAGAGAGGAAGGGAGGGCAGGTAGTAATGAGGAAGAACAGGAGGAAACTTCCACATGTAACCAAGATGGGCAGTGCAACAGGGAATAGGAATGCATCCAGTAAGAGGTCACCCATTAATAAACAAAAATTTGGGTAATATAAGGTCACCATCCTTTTTTGATCTTTGATGAAATCCTTTACATGATCTCAGGGACTTACTATTCCAAATAAAAAAGATGTATTTTGATCACGAGATCTTAAAAGGGATTTGGGAATAACTATTGGGATGTGCTAAAATAAACATTTTGGTAGGATGCTCAACTCAACAGTGTTTATGCAACCAACTAAGGACAAAGGAAATGGTAGGCCAATGAGCCAAGTTCTGTTAAGTGCATTCTAATAAAGGCACAAAAAATTGATTTAAAAAGGGGGACAGACTTACCTTTATGAACCATTTTTCATAATTCTAAAAAGAAACTAAGAGGGCACTTTTAAGAAGTTGGGTTTATAGGAAACAACTTACAACTAAACAACTACATTTATAACTAGATGGAGATTTCCCTGTGTATATATTGAAGTCATGGGCGTACCCGTTTGTGGCATCAGCCAGCACGAAACATCCGGAGCCCCATTTTTTGGGCTTGTTTTTCATGTAGTGTATGAACCCAAATCTGCCTTTTGAGGACACCAAGCATTCGTCAATGGAAAGGTTCTGTCGGGGTTGGTAGAATGCGCTACAGGTCTAGAGCAGGGACTCCAGAAGGCGTTTTAGATGGAAAAGGGGATCATATTATGGGGCTTCTTTTTTCTGGTCATTCCATCTGTCCTCCGTGGGGTCGCTGATGTGCAAAGTCCAGGAGATGGCCTCAAATCTCTTTCTGGGCATTACACTGTGGCAAAAAGGAAGTGCATACGGCACACGGAGACTCCAGTAATCTGTGACATGGTGAGTTGTAAGAGTCCTCATAAAAATCTAAATGACAATTAGAGGATACATGTCCATTATTGTCACTGGATCCCACTGGTATTTTTTGCCATGTGCGTTCCTCTTTTTGCCATTGCTATTTGTGTTTGTGGATAAGCTTCAGATGACACCAAAATACAGCAAAAAAACAAGCTGGGCAAGGAATATTGTTTTGTAGTGTCCAGGTGTGCTCCCGTGCCAGGAAGCAGTGCTATACCAATTCTATATCCTCTTCATGCTCACTCCCCTATCTCTCTTTAGGGTATTTGGCTGGGGGGGGGGGTATGTGTGTTTGCTGTCCTGTGCACCATTGATTTTGCAGCCTGGAGTGGGGTACTATGTGGAGGAGGGGTGGGAATCATTCTCCTTCTTTTCCCAGAAGGGACATCTGCATTCTCACTTGTAGAGGAAGTGATGGTTTCTTCAAGAATCTCACGGTAAATAATAAAGAAAATTGAGAAGAAAATTATGAAAATAAGATCATAGAGCTACAAGACAATCTGGTTTCTAGACTGAAAACATCAAGCTCTTTTTTTCTCCAGTTGACAAAGAAGAAAATTAACATCTTTATAATCACTGAAAAGAGAGGAAAATGGTAGCTCTGATAACCTCTCCCATCCCCCCCCCAGAAAGAAATTTAAATTGAAAAACAAATGTTTTGTGCATTACAATGACTGTACCTGCAAAAACCATACTTCTATGGAGACCAGGAGAATAAAACTGTCAAAAAAATAATAATGTAGAATATTTTACAATTATTATAATACTTGTAAACAACTACTTACAAATTGAGAAGTGAATCCAAGCCTTCCTCAAAGGCTGCCTCTGACTTGGAATCAGGACTGTCTGGTGCAGAAAGTGCATCATCGCTCGAAGTCCCAAAAAAACTTCAGCAATACTTAGAAGTCTTCCCTTGTTCAACTCCTTACATGCCATTTTTTTCTGAGTAGTGGCAGTGAACAAATAGAAGTGCTCCTGTTCTCTCTATTGACATGTGCCGTTAGGGTAGTGCGCAATCATAGCAGTTGGAAGGTTAGTCTATAGACCACCTTTAGTTCGGTTGCTTTTGACCTCCACTGAATCTCTAATATTTTCAGATTTTACTGAATGACAGCTATTTTTTCACCATACACAGCATGAAAGCTCACAGCAATTCTAACTCTGTATTGGACAGAGCTGTAATAAACAAAAACAAATAGACCTCTTTATTGGTCAGACTTGTATAGACTAGTCCATGAAAACATTTCAAAGCAATGGTGGGGTGCTTATAGAAAATGCACTCACTTTTTCAAGGTAAGAATGCTGAATTATTTATATTTAGGCACTTTTTTTACTGAAGTC